CGTACCTGTATTTTTTGCTCCAGTAGTCTAAATATGACGGTAACGATACTATGCCCATCGGAATATGAATTGCAAGGAAATCGCGGAATTCGTCTTCAGTCAAATTTATGGAGCGGCCAGTATTTTGCACAGAATATGCGTTCGTTTATTGCACAACATTTGCCATGACATTTTCGGAGAAAAACATTGAAAAATAACTAAAAGGTGAACAGATTTCGGGAGGGTTTTCAGTTTCTACGGAATCTTCTATTTGAGCTCTGTACAAAAAATTACACTGTTTCTCAGGTACATATAACACATGTTCAAGTGTGCATCTCTCCCATGTACCATTAACTTGCTTATCTATCAGTATAGTTCCTTCACCACATACTTTGATACTCTGTTTGTTAACCAACTTAACAGAATTATTGTATTGAGACTCTTTCAACTCACAGAAGTAGTCACGCTTGAAAGTCATGTGCATTGAGGCTCCACTGTCAAGTATCCATGCCTCTTCATCATGTTCAGATGAGCAACCTTCAGCGCTGAATGCCAACATATTATTAGGTTTCTTATCATTGTATATTTTCTTTGGCATCCTACAATCTTTAGCAAAATGGCCTCTTTTATTGCAATTGTAGCATACAAATCAGTGACTTGAATTTCTTTGACCATTTGAAGTAAACTGTTTCTTCATAAAACTTGGTTTTGACGTCACTAATGCAGTCTCATTACTACTTGTGTCGTTGGCAAGGCTAGCTTCTTCATCTACTAAGCGAGAAGTAAGGTTTTGAATTGTTTGATTATCTTCATCGAGTGACAACCATGCTTGTCTAAGCCAACGGTATGTTGATGGTAATGTGCTTAAAATCTTTGTGATTACTGCTGTGTCACTGATCTTCTCACCTGTCTCCCGTAGCTCCTTTGCCAAGCCTTCCACCTTGGACACATGCTGTGCCATCGTATCACTAGCACTATATGAATATTGATAGAACTTTTCATGAATTAAAATCTTGTTATATTCTGATTTCTGTTCATAGATTGCTTCCAACTTTGTCATAACTTCTTTAGCAGTCTCGCAGTTTTCTTTAAGAGATATTTGGTTGAGATCCATGGACGATGTTAAAATGAACATGGCCATGCCATCATCTTTATCACACTGCACTTGCGAACTGGCTTCCAAGGGTCTTGCCTTAGAAATGTTTAAGCCCTTTGCTCTTAATGCACATTTGACTTGAAACTTCCACTGTTTGAAATTTCTTCCATCAAACTTCTCAATTTTCATCGTGTTCGTAACCTCCATTACGTAGGCAAATTTTTCACCGGTAGTAATCTTGCTCTTTACTCGAGTTTTTGTTGAAAATATTTACTTATCATGTGCTTGGGCCCATAACCTATTGGTTATTTGGGTAAAATTACTAATAATGAGTAAGAATTCTTAATTTGTTACAAACACGCTTTTATTCTACATAAGAAAACAATAGAAAAAGGAACGTCAATATGACATACATGTACAAAGTTGCCAACACACAAAAATTAATAATAAATAAAACAGTGTGACCATTCACAAAAACAAACTAAAGACTTTATGATCTAGCTTATAAATTAATATTTATTCAAAAATATCAACAATGAACAGTTTGCAAATGAACAGTTTGCGAAGAGAACGAAACCCACGAGGAGGAATTGAAGCTAATAATATTCGCTCAATATTTGCTGATTACTTTGTATCTCCTGAGGGGTCTGTTAAATATTTAGTACCATATTCTTGTCTTTTCTTTTCGTCCTAAGTCTCGAAATCCGGATACATAATCAATAAAATTTCTTTCCAAGCATTTTGGGTGGCAATTTTATTTTTATAATGGTCTAATGATTTATCCCATAATATCGGTCGACCTTCGATCAAGGAAATAAAATCCTCGATCAATATTGGACTGTCCTCCATATTGACAACCGACTGATGCAACGCACAAGGGCAACTGCGGGCACGCGTGCGAGTGCGTACGATTCTCGAATGGGCGAGTCGTGTGAACGAGACAACATGAACATAAGCGCCACTGCGTGTCGTATTCGATAAAATCGTTTTTACCTCCTATTGCATAATAGTTATGACGTACAGGGGCCAATAAAAGCTGAGGTAGGTAGAAAGGTAATACATGTGAAATATTAATTTGCAAATATGATGACCGTTTGATAGAATCGGGTGTTTAACGTTGTAATCGTAGAAAGAATTGTGTAGTCTACCACCAACTCGAATTAAATTGACAGTTGTATCAAAGAAAGGAGATAATGATAATAGTTTGTTTTTTGCCTGTTTTAAGTAAATTGTATTCTTCAGGAAATTATTCTTGTTGACTAAATTTTAGAAGAACGTTTAATGAATTATTGTATTCCTTTGACGTGAGAGAACAGAGACAAATGATTGTCTCTTACATTTATAAATAAATCCCATAATGTATGCTACTACGCGCTGTAACTTAGGAAGTTGTGAATGTTTTGTACATAAATTAGAAATAAGATTGGAGGAATTGTGGATAAAACTAAAAACTTTGCTCGACGATTCAGGCTTTTCTGGAAGGATTACTTTGCTTCGTCATCTGATTTCTATCAGGCTGGAGAACTGTGAGAATATGACTAGTTATGTGACACAAATAGTGAAATCTTCGTAGTACCGGATTTATGATTAATGATGATTGGATTGGATCATTGCTTCTAGCTGGTTTAGGCAATAGAGCAATCCGGAATCAATATTACAGTAGATAGTATAACAACAAAATTATTGGATATGGAAATGATTCTATTGAAATGAAGGGTAAGTCGTCATTAATAGCACGAAGTTGACAGAAGAAGGAATTGGTTACAGCGTAGTTGTACCCAACCACAATTAAGAAATGAGATTTTCGAAAAAGGTCTTTAAATTATTGGGGCATTTATCGGTGCCCAGAAAATAACTATTTAAGGGCTGGAACAGTTTTAAAATTATTTCAAGCGCCGACATTAATTCGAGCCACTTTGTTTTACTATAGCCTAGCAGTTTCTGATACTCGTACTATGTATCACTGGAATCACAGAATTCTTTCAGAGATTCCACTCGAATGCTATAAAACAAGTCATAACATTTTTTTTTAATAATTTTTTTCCTTCTATCGGAGAAGAGAACATCCTAACAACAGAACAAGAAATCCAAGGCGTCTCCGTGTTGCGCCCCACTCAAAACACCATGTTTCTCACCCCCGTCGATCCTTACGAAGTTAATAAAATAATTAAGAACTTAAAAAATAAAAAGAACCACGGTATAGATGAATTACCCCCAACATTGATGAAACAATGCGCAGACGAGCTCACTCTTCCATTCTGCCTATTGGCTAATCAGTCTTTTGAGGAGGGCGTTTATCCGAATTACTTAAAGAAAGCTTTGATAAAACCGATCCACAAAAAAGTACAAAAACCGATGTTAGTAACTACCGCCCTATAGCTTTACTACCTACTGCCTCAAAGATATTTGAAAAGGCCATGTGTGACCGTGTTTACGGATTTTGTGAAAAATATAAAATATTTGATGACTGCCAAAACGGTTTTCGAAAAGGTTGATCTACGGTCCTAGCAACCTATAAATTTATCCAGGAAGCCCTTAACATAATTAATAATAAAAACTATGCAATCGGCGTCCTGTTAGACATGACCAAAGCCTATGATAAAGTGCAATACAAAATGCTCTTACAAAAATTACACGGGATAGGGATCCGTGGTAGGGCCCACGACTGGTTTATATCATACCTGAGAGATACAGAACACCAAGTAGAAATAGAATTCTTCAATTATAAAACATTTGAAATTCAAAACGTCCGTTCAAGCAAAAAAATTATTAATGCTTCAATACCCCAAGGTAGTGTAATCGGTTGCCTACTTTTTCTTATATATATCAATGATCTCCCAAAAACCATAGATGGACCTTGTGTATTGTTTGCAGACGACATCTCGCTCCTCACCTCGTGCCAGAATATTACCAATTTAGACAAAAACTTAACCAAAATATTAGACAAAACCGTAAATTGGATGAAAAACCATAACCTCGAAATAAATTTTTCCAAAACTAAAATTATGTCCTTCCACCCTAATCAAAAATCCCCATTAGATATAAATTTTACATATAATAGTTCTAAAATAGAAGTAGTCCCCGAATTTACCCTATTAGGCCTGTCAATTGACACACACATCAATTGTAAATCTCACATAACGAAATTAAGATCTAAAATCTCTAAGTTCACATATGCCTTACGCAAAGTTAAAAAGACCACCGACCTTCAAACAGCTCTCACCACTTATTACGCATACGCTTATTCCTGGTTTAGTTACGGCATCATATTATGGGGTAACAGCACAGATGCTCCAACACTCTTCACACTTCAAAAAAAAACTAATTAGAATTCTGGTCAATATAGAGGACACCGATAGCTGTAAACCATACTTTAGAGAACACAACATTCTAACACTGCCATCAATTTATATTTTGGAAATATGTAAATTCGTACGAAAAATCAACATCTGTTTACAAAAAGAGAGGATAAACAAAGAAACTACACACTACGCCATAGGACTAGACTAAACCAACCCTAATCCCGACTGCAAATCCATTCAAATAGCACTCAAGTAATGTCGATCAAAATTTACAATAAATTACCCGAAGAAATTAGAAATGAAACCATATTAAATACATATTTAAATAAATTAAAACAATTATTACTATGTGCCCTTTGGTTGCTACACACTGAAAATGGTTTTAGGTCGCCGGTCTTACATGTTCGTTTTTGTTGTCTCTCAAGAAAGGGGGACGCTTCTCGAACCGTCTTTGTTACGTCACCTTGACGTTCAGCCAATCACGTTCAAGTGCGGAATGGCGCGGTTATTTAAATTAGTTAAAGCGTTAACAACACCCATTTCTGGTACTGAAAACCCCATTGATCTTAATTCATCAGCACCAGTCACCTCAGATTAATAAGCACTGAATCTAACTCTTCCCCTTACTGAAAAGACGTCTCATTAATTGTCTGTTCCACCGCCATTGAATAGGTTAATCTATACTTCAGTCTAATTCCAGAGAGCTTGGCTACAATCGCCTGTGCCTCCTTAGACAGAGTGACTGACTTCCCCTCTGTTGATACAATTCCAGCCTTAACCAGAACCCTCATTTTGATGGAGTCTGAGATTGTTGATCCATTCATAGCTGCATCCACATACTGATTGGATGCCTCTAGTAACTCTTCAATACTCTTAGTCATCATCTTTCTTTTCTCTTTAGGATGAGACAGCATGATAGACATTTCCATATTCAATATTAGAGCTACTTCTCTAAGAGACCAGAGAAGGGTGCTGAAGCTGGAATCAGGCTAGCAAATACTGTATGCTGCATGATACATGGGAGTGGTCCCAGAAGCTTAGATGTTAGCTTTCCTTTAACGTCCTTATCTAGAATGATGGTCGCAGTACACACAGAAAAGGCTTGATAGAGCTAATCTGGAAAGTGTTAGATCCTTTGTGCTGAGCACAGTCTTGTTCTTAACAGGGTCTATAGAGATGCCATACGCTCTGGCCTTCCTTGCTAGTATGTGCCCAGCATTTGCATCACATCTAAGCACTGCCTTAGATATGTTGTTTCCTCTCTCTATAAAGGTGTTTATAAAGAACAATAAATCAGTTTTAGGGTCATTCTTTTCATACAACACAGCTTACCCACAGTTTAAGGTAGGAATGTCTCCCTTCCTAATGGGGTTTTCGTCAACTTTCTTATAGAACTGAGCAATTATCTGCCTAGCATCAAACCTCATATACTGCACTGACATTCACCGTTCCTACTCAGTTGAAGTAACACGCGTATCGCTCGTTTACCTGCTATCGTAGGGTCGGGGTCGCTTTGTCTAGAAATGTTCTCGTGTGCACGTTGCGGTGAAAATGCAACTGACGGTACTACGTGTTGCTTGTGTAAGCACCAGTTTGACTTCGCATGCGCTGGCATAACTGAGATCGGTTTCAGAAAGTTAGGAGATCGCAAAAACACTTGGCGATGCTCTGACTGTAAATCTGTCTCATCGACGGTGGCACCATCTCATCAGCAAGTATCTCAGCAATTAAGTGAAATGCGGTCAACACTGGACAGCATAATGCGACAGTTGGCGCCCCTGGCAACTTCGGTGGAAGACGTAAAAACCATCAAACAAGATATCTCTGATCTGAAAGTCTCCGTTGAATATGCACAAAAAACTGCGGATGAATCTTTGGCAAAGTTTGGTTCCTTAGAATTTACCTTAAAATTCACACATTTAAATGTAGTTGTGTCACAATTTGCGTGATCTTGACCGCATTTTGGGCAAATGATTTTTACAGATGGACAGAATTTTGAGGGGTGGCCGGAGCGCCAACATCGAAAACATTGAGTTACCGGAAAAATGTAAGGTTCTACTCTTACTCCTATATTAATTATCTTAATATATTGCGGACAAAAACTTCCCTTAATGCATATAAGTACGGTCTCCGTAGGTATCCAACCAGATTCCGGATCTCTCCGGTTTAGTCTTTTTACCAATAATATCTCACAGTCATTTATATTTTGTATAGACGATAACAGCTCACTCTCCGATAATTCTAAGTCTATATTTCTTATGATACCATACGATACTCCAACCATTTTTTTCACTTTTTCTTCTCTTCTCTCCTGCGCACAAAATCCAATCTCCCTTTTGGTTGTGTAAGTTTTCATCGTTGCTATTCATTATTTGAGTTTCATTCTGTATTAAGTCCTCTTCGTCCATACTGCTACCGTCCATAATTAAATTATCAGCAATGTCCGTAGTACTTACGTTCTCAATAATACCTTCACTCATACTGCATAAGGTTCACTACGCGATAACGGCCGGCTGCGCGTCTGCGCACCGGCTTAAACCGGTATCTGGGTAGTAAACAACCGCAATACACTTTAATAAATTCGCTCGAAACACGACTTAGTCAACCGAGAGTGAATCGAAACTGGAACATATTGACTTCATCGTGAAAAAAGCCAACAAATTCTTAGGTTTTATGATTAGATCAACCTCAAATTTTAACAACATTAAACCTATTAAAGTGCTTTATTGTGCACTGGTACGCAGTATCCTCGAGTATGCGTCTGAGGTTTATAACCCACGTTGTAATATATATATAGATGGTATTGAGTTCATCCAAAAAAGATTTTTTAAGATATTTGCAGTATAAGTGTAAGTGTATTGATCACGGATATGTAACAAGATGTAAGAGATATCATTTTCTGCCTTTAACAAATAGACGTACTGTCTCCGATATTGTTACATTATTAAAAATCATTAACGGAGATATAGATTGCTCGATTCTTGTTGAGAAAATTAAAATCAGAGTACCGCATAATTTACGCACTAGGTATAATCCACCCTTAATAAAAATATACCTCGCAAGCCGCTAAAATCATCATTCTGAAAATATTGCTGAATGTCACCTAGACCGATTGCAATAAAATAAATAAAAAATACATACATATTATAGATAACTTACACCCAGACACAGAACAAATGACCGTGCTCATCACATAACATTTGTCCTGGGTGGGAATTAAACCCACAACCTCCGGCTTAACAGTCAAAGTCACTAACCACTAGACCAACAAGCTCCGACCAACAGTGTATGAGAGTTCCTGTCTATGTGAATTAGGGAGTGTGAGAGGATGTGTAAAGGTTCTGTAATAAAATAAGCGTGTATTGTGTTTCGCTATACAGCATTAGGTGATAGTATGTTTTAAGATTAAACAATATTTTACCACTTCAAGACTGGCAAATCCTTAAATGGCGGCAATCCCAACTATATCTATAATTTTTTGCTCAATATCTGTGAGCTTAGATATAGCTGGTCCTCCTCCTGTTGCCCTTATGGAGTCACTGATTTTGTACGCCTTCAAAATCAAAAAATGAAAATCATTTATTATTTGCATAAAACAGGTATAAAGGTGGTAGAAGAACATCATATAATACATGGGTACGCTGTAATATAACCTCTTAAAGGTGTGCAAATATTTAGTCATAGATATTTAAAAGATTATTATTTAGACGTTCAACATTACAAATACAATTTGAAGAATATATTCATATCATAAATTTATTCAGAGAATTAATAATGTCAAGAGTATTATGAATGCTATTAAGTCAGATCAATATAATAAAACCAAATAATAATAATAATAAAAGAACAACAATAATAATGAAATAGTCAAAATAATAAAAAAAAAAAAAAAGTCACATTGTCATGTTCAACATAAATTAAATAACAATGAACGAAATTAATTTGATTTACAATTTGTCCTGCAGAAAATCATTTAAAGATAGTCGGATTTGACTCCTTTATATTCCTAGGCAATTTATTATATATTTTTGGAGCCATGGCGAAAACACTGTTATGCATTAGAGCAGTGTTTGATTTACACAGGCATGGGGACATTTTCATTTTTTATGTAAATATCTCTATCCCTGGCTATATTAGTCAGTTAAGGAGGCATAGCACATGATAGAAAAAAAATACTTGTTTTTCAAGTTTAATATTTTTTTAAAGATAACTCCCGCAATAGGATTATTTCCTGTGTCGAGGGGGGCTTGACAATCACATGAAACAGACACAAAAAAACACCCAGACTCAGAACAACAATTTGTGGATCACACCAAGTGTTGTTCTATGTGAGGATCGAATCCACAACGCTCAGCGCAGTATGAAGTGGCGAAGTGACCGCTTTAAACACTACAGTATAAATTCTATTGAATGTTATTGAAAGTGAAGGTTTTTACATTACGTATCACTTGGCTTTGTAAGTTAAATATACGTCAGACGATCTTTCGACTGTAGTATTATAAGAAAGTACAAAACAAAAGATACCGTTTGAATGAGTAAAAACACGGGTCTATTATAAGATACTTACATGCTGCCACTGCTGTACAGTTCTATTACAGCCCAAACTGTTAAGCTCGTTTGATACATTGGTCTAAAACTCCATATTACTTGGATCTGCCTGATTAACAAAATTAATGTGATGAAAATACAGTTAAAATTAACATAATAAAAATGATATTGCTTAGTAACTGAAACGCTGTATAATTCTCACCTCTCGCCATTTCAAGGTTGTTATGGAGGCGCTCAACCAGCAGCTCCTGCTGCCTCTTCTTGGAGCTCTTTTTTCTTTCGTCCATTACAATTAAATATATATTCTAATTAAAATAAAACTACTTACATATTATTATTATTTTTGTTTATGGCAAACTGTGCCGATGTCGACAATGAGGGTTTTCTGAAATGTTCCACGTGAGATGACGGCACTGTAGCGTCAGGTCCAACCACCTGTCAAAACACATACATGATTTGTATTTTTCGATATTTTTTTTGGTTTTATTCATTCTTAAAAACGTTACAAAAGAAATATTGTTTTCTAAAATGCCACAGTGTTGTGCAGTGCCTCTGTGTGCAAATAAAACTTTTGCGCCTCTCTTTTTGAGCTCAATCTTCAGTTCGGCAACCTTTCTCTGGTCGTAATCCATAATAAACTCAATAACACTTCCAAAAATATAGAATTTCACTAAAAATTATACGTTCAGTAAGAATCTGTGCTATCTGACAGCTGTTTGGACCTGACGCAAACGAAGCACCGTCTGGTGGCAGAAAAAGTATCGAAAACCCTCATTCTGCCAAACTCTAATGTGTGATGAAGGTGCGAGTGTTTGTAGAGCCGTAGAGAAACAAAACATAACCTCTGAAGGACATCACTGCACTAAATGTGATCTGTTTGTTGTTAATTATAGAATTTAAAGGAGAACAGGTTTGTTGGTATTACAACGTATAAAGATCATAAGCGTTCGGAAGAGTTCTGTAATAGATTTAGAGAGAAGGAAATTGATAGGCGTGGGATTCTTCAAGTTTTTTAAATACCCGTAGAGGTCTAGGGATGGGTTATTTTTCCTGCAGCTAAAGAAAATCTGGTCTAAATTGCCTTCATCTAATCCGCATTCGCATAGCGATGAATCCCTAACCCGAATTTTGTGTAGGAAAACGGGGGAGCAACAGTGACCTGGGAAGTCTACAGATGATCGAGATTACAGGTTTGGATACTTTTATGTAATTATAGAACCAAGGTTTTGATGTTACTAATGGCTATATGGCATAATAATGGTTGCCTTTCCTTTTAGAAGAGCTATTCCACTCTAACTGCCAGGCTGCTTTACTAGCTACTACTGCTACTACTTTTCCTGGGGAAGCCTCAGGAGGTCATAATTATGGTAAACATAATGTT